TATTCATAGCATTAAGGAGAACTCAGGGTATCCATAAGATGATCGGGAAAGTCCAGTTGAGCCGGACTAGTGTACTGTAGGACTAGGTATGGATCATGGTTTGAAGGTCATACTATTTACGTCTGTGAACGTGTAGCGAACATGACTTCCACAAATATCATATGAAAATACATGAGAACAATGATCTGGAAAAAGGATAAATGTATCAGAACTATGTGAGGTGTTAGAAGTGACCCAGAAACTATACTTGAAAGGAAATATCTTGTATACATCGGTGTGAACTTAATACACCTCATATCCTCGCGTGATGCATACCCACGACATGTACAGTGATCAGAGAATCTTATGTCTGTGTTCAAATAGTGCAATGTGTGAGAGGAGGATCCCTATTTGCAGTTTTAAGTGAAGTGAATATACCCACGCCATGAACTTTCTGCTTTTGTTTTAGGGAGCATCCTGTGTAATGTAATTAGTCTAATCTTAACACTTACAATGAGTACTCAATTTGCCATATTTCTATATTGTCACACTGACAAATGATGCAATAGACACAGTCTACCTGTGTACACAATAAGTACTAGTTAAACTTACGTGTTGAAAGTCTAGAGAGAAACCAGGGTAGGTGTTGCCTCTAAGATATGGGTAGCTACACTGAAATGCCCTCCCGATTGCCTGGCCCCCCTGGCTGTTCAGCTATGGCTGAGTCAGGTGATTATAATTATACATAGACAAACTCCCTTCACACACTCCAACCTCCTTCTGGGCCTCTCATTTCTACCATCTTCGTACTCTACATACTGTATACGGGCTGCTTGCGGTAACAAATACATTATGCTGCCAATATCTGTATGACTAGACAGTGCAGGTAAACAGCAATGGTAAACATTAAGGCAATTTGCCTAAGGATATACGACAATGCTGTGTATTACTTGTATATACATATCCTGTAGCAGTTATCATTATCTGTTTTAGCCTCTTTCAACTTCCTTTTGTTATTGCTAAGTTAAAACTTCAAAATTGCCATAGTGTGTCTTGTTGTCTGGTATACTTTTGCTGGATGCCACATATTAGATGCGAAATCCACTAGTATGTCTCTATTTTTGAGTGCCCAGTCAATAAGTACTCGCTGCAAGTTTCCTGCTGAAGAATATAAGTGGGGAACAATGGTAACTAAGTGGGTTTGTTTCATTTTTTATTCCTCTTGATCTTGTAGGTTGGTGAGAAACAGTCACTATGCTGTCAGTCCACTTGTAGACTCGACCTTTTCCCAACAATAACTTTACTTTTTTTTTTTTTTTTTAAATTTTCGTCACTTATCAGCTTACTAGCCGTTCGGGCGGTTGGTCTGTCCAGTGTCAATTCTTACTTTGGTTATGTTAATAAAACTTCATGTACAGAACCTCTTTGGTATAGGAAAAGGCTTATTGATTTTAGTTGCCATTCGGTAAAAGTTCAAGATCAAAGAAACTGGTTGCCGTCACAAGTCGGGGGACAAGTCAATCCAGTCTCGACTGTTTTATGTTGTATGTGCAAGAATGTTTGTTGATGTAGTCCAGCAATGAGAAGACATCCCCACTATTTTTCTTAAGCTCCCTTCACAGGTACAAGTATGCTTAAAACTTCAACTCGCTCACGGTTGCCTCAACTTATTGTTTCCAAATCCGGTAATTTAATCTTTACAGTTTTTCCTTTTCACTTCTTAATTCCACTTCTTCTACTCACTCTGCCCAGCTCTCTTTTACTTCTGCCTCAAACAAGATCTTAACGTCTTTACTTTTATAGTCTCGCCCAATTTATTTATGCTTTTCTGTTTCACGTACTCTAATATTTATGTATAGTCCCACAAAAAGTATCCTTAGATTTCCCCTTTGATGATACCCAATGCATTATCATAAGTTGGTATGCTTGCTCGCCATATCAGCAACAGTTAACTATGGGGGTAGGATTCGGGGAGGGAGTCATTTTTGTATGGCATACTAGATACTTCAATATAACAAGAAATCCATTAAGCTATATTAATATACATTATGTATCACTCGAAAACATATACTCATTTTTACTATTGGTTATTAAATTTAGTGGCAAAGTTTGGAGTACAGTTTGACTATTTTGAGTAATTCAGTCAGGTCTTGACACTGTGGGTGATATCACTGCTCACTGCCACGCAGGACAGTGGTTCATATACTGTACAGTATAAGTCATATTCTATTTGAGGACTAATCAGTGTGGGTTAACAAATTTGGGATAGATCGCAAGAATGTTTTTAAGTACAGCATTGAACAAGCCAAGGTCCCGGTCCACATTTTCTTTCTTATATACGTCACTGGCCAGTCTTTCAGCACAGTCATGATTCCTAATTCCAACATGGGACGAAATCCATACAAACTCAATACGAAAGTTATTCTCTTTAGCAGTTATCACATTTCTTTTAATATCACAGGCAACTTTCGACATAGATGCCTGAAGGTCTGTTCATTGATTTCAAAGCACTTTGGGAGACAAAATATCACTCCATCTCCATTTTCTTGAAGGTAGTCTGTGGCTAAGTAGATTCCCATTAGTTCAATTTGTGTTGTGATGGCCCAGTTATTCAGCCTTTGCATGTATGTCAGTATCATCTCATTTTCTTTATACATTACACATGCACAACCTGTCCTACCTGTGTTTGTCTGCACAGAACCACCAGTAAAAGCATAACATCCACTTGATTTAAGACTCTCAGTGTGACTATTAATAGTTTCTAGTGCAAAATAAGGAATGGCATTAAAGGCTTCGTCTGGGATGATTGCGATAGTCAGTTTCAAGAAATCTGCAACACTTTTAAGAAGCCATGCCCATAGAGAGTCTTTTGTGGAAAGTTGGTGAGATAGTCAGGATTATTTAAACAGAGCATCATCTCCATTTAAGCTGTAGTTTGGGGGAACATTGTTCTTCAAAAGTTTGACACAAAACATGGTATTAAGTAGAGATATCCTCTTAGATAGAGAGGGCAACTTGAGCTCTTTCCTCATGTTTCAATTTTGGTAGATTTGGGGCATCCTAGAATGATGCGTATGGTTTTATTTTGTACTACCTCCGGTCTGTTTAGTTGTTTAGAGGGAATAGTTATAAGATGGAGAGCATGATAGTCAACTACAGATCGAATGAAGTGAAGATAGAAAGTACGAGCATAGGTGATGTTAATTCGCGGAAGCAGAACTACTGTAGCAAATGGTTATGTTCTTTATTTTCTCTATACTTCTTTCTCTATTTCTCTTTGCCCTTATTTTCTATTACTTACTATTATTCTTACTACTTCTCTTGCTTTCGTATACAGCATTAGGTGAAGGAAGGGAGAGGGGAAGAGAGGGAGGAGGAGGAGGAGGAGGAAGGAATGTGGTTGAGGACGGCCGGTTTTAACGGTTAACAAATTTATTGACAAAGCTTGGAGTACAGTTTGCCTATTCTGAGTAATTAAAGTCAGGTCTTGACACTGAGGGTGTTATCACTTCTCACTGCCACGCAGGACAGAGGTTCATACTCAAGAAATAGATAATATTCATTAACAGTATATATAGGTCAGAGTCATTTGGGTGATGTCACTGTTCACTGTCACGCAGGACAGAGGTTCATACACAAAGAAATACATCATATTCATGAACAGTATACTGTATATAGGTCAGCGTCATGTGGGTGAGATCACTGTTCACTGCCACGCAGGACAGTGGTTCATATACATTAGAAGTGATAGTGAATACTCTCATCATTGTGGGTTTTGAGCCATTTACAGACCATTATTTACATAAGTGAGCAGGCCATTTCCAGCTCCACTATTGTATGATGTAATCCCTGCTATCCTGGGTGCAGCTTTCTTCTGGGCACTGGACCTGTAAGGTTCTTGTAAACCAATTACATCAATGTTAAAAACTTTAACATACCATTATTGGTCATTAATTCTGCAGTTAACACTCCTGATGTTCCTTGAAATGAACCAAAGCGTTCGTGCTACTCGTTCCACCTTGAATTGAGTAGAGAGAGTTGTGCGTTGGCTTCATAGATCAACCTGACTAATATGTTAACTCTTTCAAATTCACTATCCTTGGATTTCTTGATACTGCTTCTCACAGCCCTTATTCCAGTGTGATTTTTATACACAGATTCCTTCATTAGTCCGGCGAGTTCCTCCTCCGAAGATGGAAAAAAAGACGGGGTTATAGACAGTTAAGGGCGTAAAAGCCTGAAGGGTCATAGGTTTTGTCAGCAAGTTACATAGAGTGACAGAATGATGAGTCAGGCTGGGGTCAGCGAATGTCAGCAACAACACATCTGACTCGTTTCCTCTCGAGGCCTGCCTGTCTGCCCTCTCTCCCTGGGTGAGACACTCATATACCACTTGTTACCCAGTGAACACCTCGCTTAAGTCTTCTCCTATAAGTGCACTAAGACACTTCCCTAGTAGAGAAGGTACAATACATTATCAACTGAATTCTGTACCTGTGAAACTATATCTTTCTACAATAAAGGAAAACCAACAAAGTGTTTACTTCAGCCCTGCCACTTATCAATTCAAGAACTAATATATATATATATATATATATATATATATATATATATATATATATATATATATATATAATATATATATATATATATATATATATATATATATATATATATATATATATATATATATATATATATATATATATATATTGCGTGACCAACACACCCATATAATTATCTAGGAGTGTAGGTTATTGTTTTGAAGTGTAATTATCAAACTTAATAGAAAACGTTCAAAAAATAAAGTAACCGTTAAGAAGTGTCATAATTCACTCTCCCCGTATTGAGTAAAGTTGATTTATCATAAGTGTCTTGTAGGTATACAATGGTAGTGTAACAGTACCATGTTTTTAGAATAAATTGTGTTAAGGTTAAGAGAAAATTTGTATAAAAATTCAGCTTAGACAATGACACCCACAATAACGCCCGAAACGAGTGTTCCCGCTCAAACTTTGAGTGCCTAGGAGGGCTGACCAATGACAGAGTGAGTACCATAAGCCCGAGCCAATAAGAAGAGCCTGTGAAATGTGACATTATGAGTGCGTGTCGTTCCTTAGAGTCCGTCTGTGTTTAAGATCAGTCTGTGTTGGAATTTTGTCTATAGAGGTGTGGGGCGTCTGAGGCAATAGCGACATGGCAAGTATTTGATATTTAGTAAATCCTTATGTTCCCATTTGGCGTGAGATACAAACTCCACATGTAACAGCACCATTTGTGTTATATAAATATTTACCCAAATGTATAGTACCAAATTATTCACTAAGTTATTCAACAATGACTCGGTAGTTATTCACCAAGGTGATATTTTTTTTTATTATTATTATTTATTGGGCACTCCCCTACATCCTTGTGTAAGGTGAAGCGCAGAAGCGTTTACAGCGACCAACAGGGAAGCATGCTAAGTTCATGCTTGCCTTTGTCTCATGAGTTAAGGGTTCTGTCATTGGTCAGCCCTCCTAGGCACTCAAAGTTTGAGCGGGAACACTCGTTTCGGGCGTTATTGTGGGTGTCATTGTCTAAGCTGAATTTTTATACAGATTTTCCCTTAACCTTAACACAATTTATTCTAAAAACACGGTACTGTTACACTACCAACCGTTCAGAAATAAGTCAGTAACATTGCTCAGAAAGCCTCGAATCACATTTACCCCCATGGCTAACAATACTTTTTGGGGGACTGCACATTACAGTAGTTATATCTCCAGCAGTTGTTCACAAATAAAAGGTTGTTTGGTCTCGCAGTTAACATCGTTGAGGAATGGGTACTCGTCGGTAACTAGTAGAAGACAGTCTTCATTCCCGTTGGCGTCGTTAGGTTCATTTGACTTCCAGGCTGTTATTTGGAAATCCACTGAAGCACCCGATGTCCACACCCACCTGTGTTCTATGTTGAGGTCTGATGCGCCCAGCCAGAAGTTTTTCTTCACTTCTGAAAGAGTGAACAGTGGATGCGTCAGAGTGGACGGGACGGGCAAGGCTGCAATCTATGTAGAGGGCAATGTTTGCGAGGAGTAGTTATCCACACTTTATGGGTGTCTTAATATGTATACAGCAGTGTTTGCTTGATTTTCCGAAGTGAATTAAATCACATAAAATAACTAAATGAAGTTTATTCAAATTGGAATAAGAAAAATCATGAATTGGATTAAGAATTTAATTTTCATTGATGTTTACAGTTATATGTAAAATTACCCAGAGGATTCTTTAATTTACATCATAGAGTCTTCTATTGACTGCCTTTCTTAATATTTTCCTTCCCTGGCTCTTTTTAAATATATCCAGCATTTTGAATTTTGTTTCTTTAACGTCCAGTTATTTAATTAATTTTCTTTTTTGCTCTGGTCATTCTACATGTGGAAAGTGACTTGGCTAAAAATTGGACCTTATTGAGTATTGGACAAGTTTGCCAGTAATCATCACAACAAAAGAGTAAAGCAGTTGTATGATGCTGTAACTTCGAAAAGGAAAATTTTATGATCATAAACATGTTATGTGAATTGTCACCTTTCATTTTCCTTTAAATTAATTTCGCCACAATTGCACCTGTATACCATCCCTCTACCTCCCCGGCATCCAAGTCCTGAAGACGCAACAGCGTGGTGGGAACGTAGGTCTACTGAACGCTTGTTATGGTATGGATATGGGTGTGGAATATGAAAAAGAGTTCACAAATGGCCGAGGCAAGTGTGTGATTGTCTAGAGAATGTTTCATCTTAAATCATTAAATAACCGTCAATGGTCCTCACCATTAAGAAATATAAAGCAAGCAATATCCAACCACACACTGGGAACTTTTCCCAGGCTAAATTTCAGATAGGAGAGGAGACATGTAACTTCAGTACGCCTGTGTGATGTTTTTTTTCTGAAATGAAAAACCAGTAACAAATTCTATAAACACGACTGATACTAAAGTGGGAAGTCAGTCATCATATACAGAAGGAATGAACCTAATTGGGAAATGTCACAACAGGAAATTCATTGTCTTCGGTACAGGATACTCACGGTGGGAAAAGGGAGGACACTCAAATACTCACCTTGTCGCTGGTGTAGCGCAGCCACCAGCACTTCGATGTTTTCGGGCTCGGCCAGGTCACCACCCAGCCGCTGGCAGAAATTTGTGGCGGCCATCCAGCCAAGGTCGAACCACGCATGCACATAGAAGCACTCAGAGTTGAGTCGGAAGAAGGGCACCGGACACTCTAATCAAGCCACATCAAAAATTCAATATGGTTATTCTACCACTCCGCGGGGAATGTATGTTGTGGGTTATTTTTTATTCTTACGTTATATAAAGAGCATATTGGTAGACACCCTTTTTGTTTAAACAGTTTTTGTTATTCATAATTCTAGGTTGAATGTATGTAATGTTGGCAGTTACAAAACAGACATACATCATTTTTGCCCTTTGATTAATAGTTCAAACAAACAAAAAAAGGAAAAAATTGCAGTTCCTCTATTCCTCCTTGATTAATAGTACGTAAAACCAATCTGTATAGTATTCTCGCTTCAACAATGATATCTTTCCGCTCAGACTTTCACAAAACATAACATTTTAGTATTTGTAATATATATACTGTATATATATATATATATATATATATATATATATATATATATATATATATATATATATATATATATATATATATAGGAAAAAGGGAAACAATAGAGAACCTTAGCTTTCGTCTTTATTCAAGACATCTTTCAGAAGATGTCTTAAATAAAGACGAAAGCTAAAGTTCTCCATTGTTTCCCTTTTCCCTGTGTGATTTTATCAAGATTTATCTTATCCACGTTTCCATTGTGGATCTACATGATATATATATATATATATATATATATATATATATATATATATATATATATATATATATATATATATATATATATATATATATATATATATATATATATATATATATATATATATATATATATATATATATATATATATATATATAAAACAGTACCATCAAAAATTTTACTTTATAACAGATACAGTACCTTGCATAGCACCAAAACCGTCTTGCTGTACAGCTGTATTGATATATGCCCTTCCTGATTGGGGGGGTTGCCTCCTGAAGAGCGCCTCAGTCTCACCACGAAGTATGGTGAATGTTTGGGTCATGAGATCAGTGACCTCCTGCAGCTTCATGAAAGTTTGTGTCATGGCTTGTGCTAGGGCGGCCACTTGCACACTCCCTCCAAACTCTGCGTCTTGTCCTGGAGAGTGTAAATCGAAAACACGACATAAAAACTACCATTCTAAAACATATACAGTATAGTCTCGATTTACGCGGATTTACTTTACACGCTTGGTCATTTACGCGGCACATGACCAGACGCGGCAATCGTCAGTTACGCAGTACATTCCATCATTTACACGGTACACACGGCTCGCGGGAGGCCCAGACGCGCCAATCATTAGTTACACGGTACATTCTTGACCATACACGGGAAGCGGCGCGGGGAGGGTGAGCAGTATGTCGCTCTTATGTTATCGCTGACGTCATATGACGTATTGGACTGTGATTGGGCCACGCATCCTTACCTCCCTCCGCCGCTAGCTTTGATTGGTCTAATGTAACATGACGTGCCCTGCCCTGCCGGAGGGTGAGTCGCTGACCTAAGCTGCGCCAGTCTCATTGTTCTCAGTCTCCGCATATACTGTTCTCTCTTGTGCCCGCTAATCCGTTCAACAATGGCGTCTGCTGGACCCCCACCACCCCCGAGAAACCATGAACTACCTGGACCCAGTCGCCCAAAGGCAAAGAAGATACGACGCTCTTTAAGCTATGAAGTAAAATAAAAATCGTGCAGGAGTTGGAGAAAGGAACGAGATAAGTTGATTTGGCGCGCCAGTATGGCGGGAGCGAATCTACGATCCGGACGATCAAGAAGGATGCCGCCAAGATCAAAGAACACATGAGCATCACAAAGTCTGCATGTTCGTCAATGGTTAAATATTGTCAGAATAAGGTGCTGCTCAAGACTGAGGGTTTATTGGTGAGCTACTTGATTCGTCAGGCGAGAAGTAACTTAGCAGTGGCGCGGAAAATGGGAGTTGCAGAGCCCAAACACTGCACTGCTTCTGCTGGGTGGCTGCAAGGGTTTAAAAGACGTAATAAAATAACAAACATTGAAATTGTTGTGAAGGTGCTAGTGCTGACCGTGCTGCGGCGAGTGATTTTCCTCCATTTTTACGAGAAATTATGGAGGAAGGACAGTACACCGACGACCAGGTGTTCAACATGGATGAATCCGGTCTCTTTTGGAAGAAATTACCTTCCAAGACATTTGTCGTCAAGTCTGCCAGCAAGTGTCGGGGCCGGAAGTTGCAGAAGGAGCACATCACCGTCCTGTTCATCCCCAATGCCACCGGCACCTGTAAGCTCAAGTTGTCTGTGATCCACACAGCCCGCAAGCCTACAAAAACATGGACATAACCAAGCTAAATGTCCACTGGCTAACCGCACGTAAGGCGTGGATGTTCACTGGTCTGTCCCTCCCCTGGTTTGATGACTGTTTCGTTCTTGACGTCAAGCAATTCTGCAAGCAACATAATGTTCCATTTAACATTTTGTTGCTCCTTGATAATGCACCAGGACACTCGCCCCTATTGCTGGATCGTCACCCCAACGTAAAAGTGGTCTTCCTTCCCCCTAACACTTCGTCGTTAATCCAGCCCAGGATCAAGAGTTAATTTGTAATGTCAAGTCTGCTTTCTCCACAAAGAAGTTTCGGCTCCTTAATGACTTGACCAACACCAAGGATGAATTGCGAAACCTTCTGAGTGACACCGATAGCGAGAGCGAGGACGAGGATCAAGAAGAAGAGTTGGCGGAGCATGAAGTTCGCGTCAAACAGTTTTGGAAGAAATTCAACGTCAAGGAAGCTGTTGATTTCTTGGTGGAGGCATGGGGGCAGCTGTCTGTGGCAACGATTCGTCATGCATGGCGGCATGTGTTGCAGGGTATCCCAGGTGGGAGGCAGAGTCAAGCGGTGGCTGGTGAGGTTCAGTCTGTTGCAGCGGCATTGGACCTTGCAAGAGAGGCTGCACAGAGTGTTACAGCTGCAGGCTTCTCCGAGACCACCAACGACGACATCCTGGAGGTATTCAGGCAACCTGAGGTGACTGCCGACGACTTGCTGGAAGATGATGACATAAGTGAGGCTGCAGGTGGTACAGCAGAAAAAGAACAAACATTGTCATAATGATGTAAAGGAGGCCATCGAGTATGTCGAGAAATTCAAGCTCATCCTTTCAAAAGACCCAATGAATCACCGCCAAGTTACCAATAACCTCCTGTTGCAATCTATAGAGCCGTATATTCAGTTGTATCACAACATCAATGCTAGTCGTCAACGCAATATTACGGAGTTCTTCGCCCGCAACCAACCACAACCACAGCCAACCCAAGTCAGTGATAGTGACAGTGACGATATGGACTTTGAGGGGTTTGTCAGGGAGGCCCTGCAAACCTCTGTGAATAGTGATAGTGATTCACCGGAGGGCCACTAATCTGCCCTCTGCCTCGGAACCAGCCGCCATCCCCGTATGCCGACCCATCTCTTCTACTAACGTAAGTGTTAAACATAACCTTTATATTTGTACAGTAGTGTAGTTTTTTATTTATATATTATATGTGTGTCAATACCATCATAAAATTATGATGTTATTTTTACTACAAGGTACGTATTGTGTCGGAAAAAGTGGAGTTTGGGAGTCGGCCCAGTCTCTATTTCAATTAATCCCATATGTTCTGTTATTTCATTTAAGCGTTCCTTGCTTTACGTGAACCTCCACGGGTTCAATTGACCGCGTAAATGGAGACTATACTGTAGAGGAAAAGGTAATTACTGCCAGCGACTCACCAAAATGTCTTATACTGCGAGGTGGAGTTATCACTGTGGTCTACTTCTTTATACTGTACTGTATTGGAATGTTTGACGTAGTGACGAAAAAAGATTAATGTATTTGATATTAACATTAGTAAGTGCCGAAGACTCTTCACACACACACACAGCTACTACTACTTTGTCACTCGGAATCGAGTATGGCGATCATCCAGATCCAGCTATGATACAATGATATGAGTTATTACGGATGTCACCTTTGTTGGTGAGCTCTGAGGTGACCCGGAAGGCCGATACCGGCCAGGCAGGGTCGTCCACAGATGTTGCACGTGTGGAGGGCTACATCTACTGTAGGAAGGCGGCAGCAACGTTTTCCGGCGTTGGCGCTTGTCTGCCTCGGTATGCAGTCGGGCTAACTCGAAAGTATTGACACCTTCTCGTGTGGTGCTCCTCCAAGCGTTACGGCGTGAAATGATCGTTTCCCAGGTGAGGGGGTCGATTTAGGACTGTTTCAGGTTTGTCTTAAGACTGTCCTTATACCTTTTCAGTTGCCTGCCAGCGTTACGTTTATTATTCGTTAGGTGACTTTAAAGTAGCTGTTTTGACAGTCTACTGTCGTCCATGCAGGTAACATGACCAGTCCAGCATAGCTGTTCATGGATAATGGTAGCCTCGATGCTCTTACAGTTCGTGTCAATGAGAATACTGGCACTTGTTCTCTTGTCTTCCCAGCGAACTCGGAGGATAGAACGTAGACTACTTTGGTGACAGTTTTCAAGTGCCTTGAGGTGCCTCCTGTATGTAACCCATGTCTCACTGCCATGTAGCAGGGTGGGGATCACCACTGCTCGATATACAGTACGTGCAGCTTTGTAGATAATTTCAGCCCCCTACAGCTGAAGACACGGGTACGAAGTCTGCCAAAGGCTTCAGATGCACATCTGATCCGATGTTAAATCTCTTCATCGATGTCCGCGATTGTGGACAGGTGGAAGCTGAGATATTGAAAGTGATGGAAGTGTGGCTGAACAAGGGGCAGGCTGAAAGAGAATCTGAGTCTTACATACATTCACCTCAGGGCCGAAGTATACATACGCAGCTGCGTAGATGTTCAGGATCTCCTCTCGGTCGCTTTCAATGTGAGCGACGAGGGTGAGGTCGTCTGCATACTGAAGTTCAGTAATGGAAGCTGCCGACACCTTTGTTCCTGCCTTGAGCCGTTTTATGTTGAAAAGACCCTTCATCCAGTACTAGATGTCCACCTCTTTGACTAAATTGGCACTGGCACGAATAAGAAAGGCAGCCAAGAAAATGGAAAAGAGAGTTAGTGTTAGTACACATCCTCGTTTTGCCCCCGTTTGGAGTTGTCTCACAATGGCGATGAATTTTGGTGGGCAGCCAAAACAGCTGAGGGTTCCCTGTTGACTGAGTCGAAGGCCATGGTTAGGTCGATGAAGGCCATGTACAGGTAATGACACTGTTCTCTGCATTTTTCCTGTATCTGGCGGGCAGCAAAGATCATGTCACTGTTACCGTGATGGTCTAAAGCCACATTGAGATCCTGGGAGGAAGTTTTCCACCTCACGAACAGGGCTGTTTAAGGGGACTAAGGCGATAATCTTGTCAGCTACGGACAGCAGCAAGATCCCGCGGTAGTTGCCACAGTCTAGTTGGTCTCCCTTGTTCTTTATACATATTGACGATGAAAGAGTTTTTAAGAGCTTGGGGGATTTCCTTCTTTTCCCATATATTCTCTAATAAAGAGTGGAGACGGCTGGTAAGCAGAGGTCCTCCTGCTTTATGCACCTCGGCTGGAATTCCATCTGTTTAATGGCAGTAGCTACCTCATCCAGGGATTGAGGATAGCAGAGGTGGGTCAGCTCAGGAGGCTGAGGGACCCGCTGGGTGGTCAGAACATCCACATCGGTGTTTCTGTTGAGCAGTTAATGCTTTCTTCATCTTTAATTAGGGAGTTACCGTCGGATGAACGGAGGAGGACTGCACCATGAGTGATTGGCCCATAAATAAAATGTTTTAGTAGAATAGAAAGATTCGCGCAAGTTGTGCTGATCTGCAAGTTTTTGCGTTTCACATGCTTTATTTTTCAACCATTCGTTCTTTAGATTGCGAAGTTCGTGCTGGACCCTCATTTTCTTCTTGCAGAAAGTATCAGTGGACTTCCATATACAAACAATACCTCACTAGTCGGTCCTTTGCGTGTGAACAGAGATCTCTACCACTGCGCCACAAGGACAAATGAGATATACATATGTAGCCTCGTGTTTCTTAGCTGGATTCGGTAAAGTACTACTCCGACCACATAGTTGGTACGGGCAATCCCCAATGGAGGTTCACGGTGCTTAACAAGCACGATGGACAGACTTTGTGTGGAATATAACAAAGCCTAGGAATGCTTTTGTTGTCCTTGTGGCGTGGTGGTCGCGATCCCTGTTCACACGCAGAGGTCCAGGGTTCGATTCCCGACAAGTGAGGTATTTTATATATATATATATATATATATATATATATATATATATATATATATATATATATATATATTATATATATATATATATATATATATATATATATATATATATATATATATATATATATATATATCCAAACATCACACACACTTCTTCATGCTCACGCATACATACACACACATAAACCCGAGTACATAAACCCAAGTACACACACATAGACCCGAGTACATAAACACCAAGTACACACACAAAGATTAACACACACATAAACCCGAGTACATAAACCCAAGTACACACACAAAGATTAAAGATACTAACCAGGGTGGCAATGAGGAGGTTGGAGTTGGGATTCGTTAATTAGGTTCATCAGCAGCTGACCCATATTCTCGATCACCATTTGATTAATCACCACAGCAGCTCGCATCTCGGACTCGGTAGCGGTGGGGAGTTCGTCTACTTGGTTGTCCTGAGCATCCGCCCCGTCACCCGAGCACCACCACCCTACCACCACCACCACAGGCAACAAACCAACTACACGTACCATCACTTCACTATACGCTGTCTCTTTTCCTGTTCAGTAATGGATGGTGTTAAAGATATATACTCCAATATTGTCTTCATATACTGACATCACAGTTTTATGGTTTCAAGTGGTATGGTATTTTTTTAGTATACTGTATGTATGTGTATATATATATATATATATATATATATATATATATATATATATATATATATATATATATATATATATATATATATATACCGTACCACCAATATAGTTCAGCTTTAATTTTGCATAGGCATTAGCATCCTAAGCCGCTTTGGTTAAATTTCTAAAACAACAAAACTTTTACTTTTTTAACTGGCCAGGGTGAACTTACCTTAGACAATTTCTAAGATGGGAATGTAGAGGGAATTAGTAGAGAATATCTGTAAGTAGGACGTGCTTACTGCTGAGTACTAGCCTTCCTTCACTCTGTAATTAATTCAAGTGTAAGTAAATGACAAAAACGTGGAATAGTACCAACCTAAATTATATTTGTTTTGCATGAATAAAATAGTTTTATATATATATATATATATATATATATATATATATATATATATATATATATATATATATATATATATATATATATATATATATTATTTTTTTTTTTTTTTTACTGTTATTCTTAAGAATTGTCCTTCCATTTCGCTATACAGTTAGTAAGATGCGGTTTTAAAGAATATCGAAACCAAGAAGGAATTTTATAGGTGTCTATCTCATCCAGAACGATGAAGATGAACTCACGACACAGCACACTACGTCAGGTGTATAAAGTAACTGTCTCCTCTCACAGCGGCAGCAACAACTACAACAACAGTGACACCACCCCAGCTAAACTAGAACTGAGGCCTCTTTGTTGATCTGATCTGTAATGTCCATACAGTGTAGTGAGAAACGAGACATAAGAGTGAAGCTATCATAGACGTCATTTTTACAAGATTCATGTGGAAAGGATCATTATGACTATTGTGGGTTAGCTTGTTTATACCCCCAGTGTCGTGCTTGAAGATTAGGACAGGGATGCCAATTGTTTAATTTCGCTACTTGTTTATGGCGAAGTCCTCATTACTGATTTCATATTCATTTTTTATTGGTATAAGATGGAAGGTATTTCAAGGCGGTGTTTTTCTCAATTTCCTAATACAATATCTACCGTATTATGTTTACCTTCTGTGAGTCAGGTTTATAGTTTATTGTTCACTGTTGGAAACTTTTTCTGACATGACATCACTGATATATTAAGTACAGCATGACCTAAAACATACAACACTCCTGAGTGACTGCTTCTGGGTAGTTCGCTAAAGTGGGGAATCACTCAATATGGTCTCTCTCTCTCCATGTTATGAAAATGTTACTACCATGACTAGGTACAGTCAAACAAAGATGCACTGAACCCACCCTGGGTTTCGTATTCACAATTTTACGTGGCAATACTAGTAAATTAAGGTTGTATGTAATGGTAATTGATGGATCTATTTTTGGCTGTATAAATATTAAGCAAACCAAAGGTAGCATTTTTATAATAATAACCTATTCATCGTTATTTAAGATCCTGAAAAGTTTCCAGATTTCTTATATTTTCTTAGATAATGAAGAAAATTATAATAATGAATTGGCAATTCAACTACAACCACAGCTGCCACAAGATTTTCACATCAAATCTTCTTCATTATTTAAGCAATTAATATACAAACATTTGGAAACTTCTCATAGGGTGGGGTCAGTGCAACTTTGGTTGACTGTACAGTACATCTTATCATAGTGTTATACACAGTGGTCGAAGTGGAAAACCAGAAGTGGGGGTACACAACCACTCACACATAAAATAGTGTTAACGTTTTCCATTGGTGTATTGGAATCCCCAATCAAGAAGCATGACTCCTGCATCCTGTACATTGCATCACGTGATTGTCTTACTGAAAATATTGCTTTGGGTATGAGAATGACGCATTGAAAGAGTGGTAATAGTAGTGTACTGTATATAACATTTTAGTTGTGGATTCCATGAAGGAACTTTTACATATGATTGTAATTGTTCTTATCCATGCACTGAATCGTTCATTTATACTTGAAGCTATTCACTCAGGTGAATATAATAATTTTTATGATAACATATTTTCAAGCAATTTGCATATATAATTTAAGAAATTTGATATTTCTGACTGTAGGACATGTGAAGCTGAACAACTAGCAATTGTATTTATCATTTCACCACTTATCAGCTTACTCGCCGTTCAGCCGGTTAGCCTATCCAGTGTTAGTACAAGAGGAAACCGGAGTCCGGTGTATTTGGGCTAAGCAGGACTCAAACTCTTAACATATTATTGAGAGATTCGCACATTTTCGTTGTAACATTGATTATAATTATGAGACAGGGGGATAAGAGTGTGAGTGTGTGTAAGGCAAAGGTTAATCAACTATTATGATACATTTCATAACTATGGCATTTTGCATTAGTGCAGTGGTTCCCAAACTTTTTTTTAGTTATTACCTGACTTCCTTCATAATGGTCCCACCCCACCTGATGTCTGGAGCATCTGCTGTGATTATATACTTAAAGGAAGAATATTTACAGTTCATTTTTTTTTCGGGGGTTCTCTCAGCTCTGGTCTCAGTTACAAATACTATAAACAACAAAATACTCAGTGAAACGGATGAGGTTGTTTTCCTGCAGCCAAATTCTCGATATGAGGCTGAGTGGTGGTTAGTACTAATGTGACTTCAGATGACACATCCAGCCTGTTATAGCTCACTGTGTTCAGTGGAGGATGCAGGAAGAACCGGGCTTACACAAACATGCTGGTGAAAACTTAATAAAAAGTTCCAGCCCAATAGTTGGATACGTCACGCAGTAGCTACTGTATACAGTATATGCAATTCCTGTACTTCCATATATTTTTGGCAGTGTATCCCAATAAGACACTAAAAAAAGTCATATTACCCCAATAAGGTAACTTCCTCCATGTTTGGGAACCACTGCATGATTAGTAGATGGAAAAGTGAGTAATATTTGCTCATTTTATAATTATGGAATAATGTAATCTGTGACCATACACCGCAACGGGATGACCATGCCCAAATAGTAGGGATACATAAAATGACAAATTAAAGAAGTAGGGGTATGTGTACCCACGTGTTAGCTTCCCTTTCGAGCACTGGTTATACTTGTTTCTTGGTGTGTAACAATCATCGCACGACTATCTACTGTACGGTACAAGCTTTATGACGCTTCAACTTAACTCATTTTATTGTAAATTTCTTTTCCTTTTCCAGAGACCCAGAATGTCTCCAGATCGCTTCACTTAGTGTCTGAGTCTAACGTTTGTCTATAGGGGGTGATTGTAATGAGTGCGGGTATGGAATTATAAGGTTATTACTTATGCTGCGTAGACGTATTTCTGGAAAAGGCGACATCTGTAAACATCTTCTAGTGAAGTGAGAGGACAGGTAGCTTTATTACAAATATTCAGAATTGTATTGGAACATGATTATTTGGGCAAATTTAGGGAGATTTTCTTGTATATATTGATGTGTTACGAACACCTTTCGCTGCTTACCAGCTTCCCCCGCTGATTACCAACGGCCAGGTCGCCTCTACAGAAGCAGTAGATATATCACAAGTGTCTTTGAATTACCACTAGCTGTCCCGCCAGTCTCCGGTAATTTCCCGACGATCGGTATCAGCGTACAAACAACCTGTTGGTTGGCAGGTAGATTTCCACCAGGTCACAGAAACACACTTGTGAACTGCAGTCCTCTTTAATAATCACTAAATCTTGACAAAACTCTTCCCAGGGTATGTCCTCACAACTGGACTTCTCACTTCGAATATATACTGTCAGCACACTAAGAGTGTACAATTCCTAGTCTTTTCACTATATATCACTCACAAAAATTCCACACTCTGAGCAGAAAAGGGCGACTCCTTGCCCCTTGGCAACTCGTTGGTGCTTATACTCGTATACTTCTTTTCAGACGCCCGGAGCATCCTAGTGCCACCTAAGCATTGCAGGTAGGAACGAGATATACCTGGAAAGTTCTAGAAAGATCAAGGCTTGCAACACGTAAGTAAATTATAAATAAATGATGCAATACATTCTAGAAAATTCTTATAGACAATAGATCAATATATGCAAGAAAATCTCCTACAACTTGCCAAGTTAAACTGGTACTTGAAATAGACAATACTCAGAACACCTAGTTCACAAAAATTTTGCGAAATTATACCTCTGCATAACAGATGTATTACCTATGTAAGAATTTTCTAGAATGTATTGCATCATTTTTTTATGATTTACTTACATATTGTAAGCCTAGATTATTCTAGAACTTTCCTGGCGTATCTCGTTCCAACCAACAACGCCTAGATGGCGCTAGAATGCTCTAGGCATCTGAAGAAAAGTATATAAGCACCAGCGAGCTGCCTAGGAGAGTACTAAAGATAACCAGAAGCGGAATAATCCCCCACATCAATGAAAGAATAGCAATTGCAAAATCACAACTTACGAAGCTCAGAAGATTCCGCCAATTAAACACCAACACGCAACTGCACCTATACAAAGCACTATCAGACCAAACTTAGAATACCCTCCGATACCTCTGAACACAATCGCAAGAACAAACAAACTTAAATTTCAAGCAGTGCAAAATATAGCCCTCAGAAGAGCGGCAAAACACAGACCACCATACACACAAACAGCACAAGACATACACACACAACACGGCATAGACCCACTCAACACCAGAAGACACACCCAAGCAAATGCAATATGGGAAAAAATCCATCAAGAACAGGATCCCATACTAAACCAACTAAATGAGGAAAACAACAACACATCACACAGATGGTGGCCTAGAAGCAGGAAAACTAATAACGAAGAACCAGAGCCTCTATATACACAATAAAAAAGAAGCAAAAGATGGGAACAACTCTCCAGTCACACAAGGACCTGGAGGGACCCCACAAACAAACAAAGACCTCAAAAGATCACAAACACCCACAATAAAAACTAGAAACGAAACAGATGGGGATCATCCCTCCAGTGCCACATCAAATAGAACAACTTAGTTTAGCTTGGCTGAGACCGGCCTTCCCTAACCGCAAAGTCCTCTAATGCAGCACTGTTGAAGGAAGACAAAACCTCGTCCCCGCAAAGTGGTTAGCCCACCTGCTGTCAACCTCCTCCAATATTTCCCACTTCTGAACTTTACCTTGTACTGTACCCTTCTTGCACCTTCAGAGCTAATGCTCTCTTCTCTCCGTATCACCACCCACCACCAGGAGAGTACAGAGAACGACTGCTGGATCCGGAGCTGTGAAGACTTGCCTTTTTTCTGCTGCGTGGTTGAGAAGTCTGCAACTTCGTTGTGATTGGATACTCAATCCTAGTGATTGACCTTACCCATCATAGCGACTGTGCAATTACCATCTCAGATTGTACGAGAAACAATCAAGCCTCTGGAAAACATATATTTGGGCTCCCAAAAATTTTGACTACTCCCCGTGCGTCTACGTCCTGGATTGGCCAATCAGCGGTACCCCACGGTGGCGTGATACATGCACGTTTACTGCGGTGCTCTGATTGGCTGACCGGACGTGGCGTGGTAGGGAGACTGTCCCTACTCTCTAAGTCCTCTTCTTTTCCTTCTTTCTTCCCCCTCATGCACCCCGTTCCTCCGTTCCGGGACTTAGCGATACGGTCGATCCGGCAAGGGAACCTGTGATAGTACAGGGCACCCCTTGTCCGGGGGGGACACTGGTAGGTGGCGACATAAATAGACATAACTTATAGTCACAGGTAACTTGGACGCAGAACCCTACGAGCCCGACGCCCGTCCAAGACGGGGGAGGGGGGGT